GGGTGTGTGGGGTGACAATGGACACGCACAGGTGACTGATGGCAGCACCAGACAGGGTGTGCTTGTTCCTCCAGGCTCCCTGCCTTCCTCCTGTTGGATTCTGGGGAGGTCTAGCCTACAACCTGTATCCCCATGCATGACCTAGCTCACTGCAGTCAGAAGGGTAGGCAGAGTCTTGACTGCCTTTGGCTTGATCTGCGTCTGTCATTCACGCAGAGCTTGGTGACTGCAGGGGCCTGCCTGGGTGCCTGGCTCAAAGTCACAGAGACCCTCCTATCTGTGTGATGGTCTCTGTGTGAGCCAGCAGGGCCAGGAGAGGCCTCCCAGGACAGACTAGAGACAGACTAGGGTCAGACAGACATTTGGATCTCTTTGTGACCTTGTTGCTGTCATCTCCAGCCAGTACCCTGGGGATGTCACACGGAGCTGCCGCATTTATGGGCACGTGTAGCGGAGACAAGATGGACTGTGTCTCTGAGGTCTCTGTGCCTGAGATCGTAGAAGGTGAGACTGGCGTCTGCAGGATGGGGTGAAGTGGGTGGGGCAGAATGGGTCAGGCCCCGGGTCTGAACATACCACCCGCAGAGGACGAGGAGCCGGAGAGCACAGAGCGAGCCTGTGACACTCTACTTATGTGTATCGTCACCGTCATGAACCACGGACTGAGGAACGGTGGCGGCGTGGGCGACATCCTCCGCAAGCCCTCCAAAGACGTGAGCACCTTCCCACCTGTCCTGTGAATGCTCTCATTCCCAGCTAGTTCCTGTGATACTGTCCAGAGCTGTCAGCATCTCACCCCAGCACACTGTAGATGCTACAAGGGTCACCACGGCAACCCATCTTGGCTCTGAGGCCTGGGAAGGTGTGAGCCATCAGCAGCAGTCGGTAGCTTCCTCAGCCCCGAGGGAGGAGGGCTGGGTGGAGCCTCAAAGACTTGGCTTGGGCAGCCAGCAGCCCGGTGTCCATCCACTCCCGGTTGCTTAGAAGTCATCTTTGGCTAGACAAAGGTTCTGGAATGCGTGAGGCTTGGCACCCTGGCTGCTGACCCGGGAGCTCACAGCTGCCCTTCCCTTTAGCCAAGTTGGTTTTTTTGTTTGTTTTTGTTTTTTTGTTTTTTGAGACAGGGTTTCTCTGTGTAGCCCCGGCTGTCCTGGAACTCACTCTGTAGACCAGGCTGGCCTCAAACTCAGAAATCCGCCTGTCTCTGCCTCCCAAGTGCTGGGATTAAAGGCGAGCGCCACCACTACCGGCTTCCCTTTAGCCAAGTTAAAGGCGGAGGAGACAAGCCCTGTTTTGTAGGACTTGCCACACATGACAAACCTGTCAGGGCTTCCTCCTGTTCAGCCCTTTCTTTCTGGTTGGCAGCTGGGGTCACCGTTGTCTGTGGGTTCCCTCGTTCTCTCTCGGGGCTTGCGGTGACTCTGTCCTCACGGTGTCCCCTTGCTCTGCAGGAGTCGCTCTTCCCGGCCAGGGTGGTGTATGACCTCCTGTTCTTCTTCATCGTCATCATCATCGTGCTGAACCTCATCTTTGGGGTGATCATCGACACCTTCGCCGACCTGCGCAGCGAGAAGCAGAAGAAGGAGGAGATCCTCAAGACCACGTGCTTCATCTGTGGTGAGGCGCATGCGCTTGCCGGGCCGTTTCCTGTTGCGCGGCCGGAGGCTTCTAAGCCATGGCACCCAGTCCCCCCACTCTTGCTGACCTGGCCTGTGGGATCAGCAGGGCCCGGGGAAGCCACTGCTTCGAGCCCTTGGGCCTCCAGGAGAGGAACCTAAGGCCACTGTGGTCTCAGACTTCTGGTTTTATTCCATTGCTCCTTCTGAACCTAGTCATGGCCTCAAAGAGTAGCCAGGGTCCAAAGGGCAGGGCTCACTGTGGCCATGCTGTTGACCCAGCTAGTCCTGTCGCTGCTGGCCTCAGGCAATCCTCATGTTCCCAGAGTCCCTAGTGTTCTCTGCAGGAGGGCTGCAGCCATGTATGGTGGCGTCTCCACCGCTAGGCAGCGGGAACTTGAATAGTGACCGGAACCGCCCCAGAGAGGGGCCGGGGGAGTTGTTAGAAGCAGTCCCCGTGGTGGCCCTCAGTGGTGGCCCTCCTTCTGCCCCCAGGTCTGGAGAGGGACAAGTTTGACAACAAGACAGTGTCCTTCGAGGAGCACATCAAGCTGGAACACAACATGTGGAACTATCTCTACTTCATCGTGCTGGTCCGGGTCAAGAACAAGACAGACTACACCGGCCCCGAGAGCTACGTGGCTCAGATGATCAAGGTGAGCGTGTACTCCTGTCCAGGCTCACTCACATCTGGGAGGACACACTGCGTCTGCTGGCCCTGGCCCGAGGGTTGACAGCTGCGGTTGCTTGTTGGAACAGCCAAGGAGTAAGGAGCAGCTGGGGCCAGCCCTCCGCTGTGCAAAACCCTGCTGGCCACCACCCCTGCTATGAGGGGAAAGCAAACTTGCAGTGAATCTGTCAGCCCTGGAGAAGCATGGTGAACCAGGGCCCCCGAGGCACAGCAAGGGAGATCAGCTTCCTAAAGTCAGCATTGTCTCAGCCAGAGAGAAAGCCTGGAAAAGCTTAAAAATACCAGGCTTAGCGGAATTAAACCTAATCTTTCTAATTTCCAGCCATGGCGGCAGTGAGGAGTTTAGTCTAGAGAGCTTTAACTGTTGGTCGGAGATTTCACAGCTGTGACAGGGAACCAGAAATCTGCTTGGCTCGCGCCCCTCTCTCCTTTCTCTATCCCGGGGAAACATGGTTTTCCTTCTCTGGCACGAGTCGGATGCTCGGATGCTCGCTCTCCCAGGCTGCCATCTGTGTGACACTCCTGTTCCCTGAGCACGGGGCATGTTCGTCTGCAGCAGCGGGAAGGAGTGAACAAGTCTGGGTCTTGGCCTCCCGGCTCTGTGGCTGTGGCAGGGAGTGAGCAGACGGCCTGCTGGAGGCCAGGGCCGCCTCACGGGAGGACACAAGCCAACACAAGCCGGTTCAGATTTTCCCATGACACACTCCCTGCTGGCCATCGGTAAAGGGAGTGGCTCTCCCCGCACCGCGCCTCTTCGCTCCTCACCCTGGCGCTCTGTTCCAGAACAAGAACCTGGACTGGTTCCCGCGCATGCGCGCCATGTCCCTGGTGAGCGGCGAGGGTGAGGGCGAACAGAATGAGATCCGCATCCTGCAGGAGAAGCTCGGCTCCACCATGAAGCTGGTGTCGCATCTCACGGCCCAGCTCAATGAGCTCAAGGAGCAGGTGTGTCCCCAATCTCGGGCTACCGGCGTCATAGGGAATCCTGGTTCAGGTTGAGGCTTGCCCATGATGGTCGTTCCTGCAGTAGCCAGGCAGGAATCGCCTCTGGCTACCCAGTGCCGCTCCATAGCCGCTCGTGTAGTGTAGATGCTGTGGTCTCCCGAGTGCACACAATCAAGGGTTTGACTTGCTAACTGAGGACGACCCGGGGGTTGGGGTTGACCATCTGCCATCAGAGCTGAAGGGTAGCTGGGCCCTCTCGGGAGGACACAGACTTTCGCGGTGCCGAGGAGGAGGGAGCTGGGCCACCTGACGACGAATTGTTTAACTCAGATGACGGAGCAGCGGAAACGGAGGCAGCGCCTGGGCTTCGTGGATGTGCAGAACTGCATGAGTCGCTGAACAGAGCCAGAGACCCACGGCACAGAGCACTGCCCTTCCTTCAGGTCAGGTGGCCGGGTGGCCCATCACCTCCTGGAAGCCAGGTGCCCTCCCCACCTCCAGCTCTGCTGGTAACCTCCTTCCCTCCCTCCCTGCCAAGCCGGGCCCTGGCCAGCAGGAGTGCTTCAAAGCAGTCCTGCTTAGTACCCTTGAAGAGACTCGTTTACCTTAGTGCCTTAAGAGGATGCTAGGTCCTCCAGACTGCTGTCCCCCGAAGCAGTGACTGACATTCCTCAGCGGTCCTCACAGATGGTTACAAGTGGGCTGCCTCTAACCTCCAAACACTACACTGTGGCTGTCTCTGCCTGCCTGCCTGCCCGCCTGCCATCCTGGCTCAGGAAGGTGGTAGCCTGCTGTTATTAGCTTCGTAGGGCTTTGATATTTAACTTATTCCCAGGGGCCATCCCACCCTGCTGTGCCTGCACAGCTCTCAGTGCCTGTTCCTGCTGGGGACAGTGTGGCCTGTCCCAGTAGCCTGACTACTCAGGGTGGACCTTGTTCCCAGGACTTGTTTCTCCCCAGGCTTTGTAGGCGAGCCTCACAAGCCAAGGGACAGGACTGGGCTGTTTGAAAGTGGCGTTTGACTGCTTCTCCCTTCTCTTCAGTGTAATGTTTTACATGTCCCGTGTCCTGGGGACTAATGTGTTAATTGCCTTAAATAAATTAATAGAATCCAAGTCCATCAATGGGGCATGCTTCTGCCTCCTGCACTGCTGGAGACCACAGAGGCAAACACCCTGCTGGCCCAGCCTCCCCTCAGGCTCAGGATGCTAAATGCCACCTATTGCACCCCAACCCCTGCCAGGGCTCTGGTGACCTGCCGGGCTCCACCTGGTCCCCTTGCCCACCTGTAGGACATCGGAGTAGGATTTGAGCACCTGACAGAAGTGAGGTTCTAAGCAGTCACAGTAAGGTGGCCGTGTATCTTGCAACCCTCCACAGAACCTGCCCAGTGCCCCCACCATACTTAGGTAAGGGTTGGCTACAGCTTCCTGTCTCTCGAGTCACTTGGGCACGGCATTTGGCATTCCTAGTGGGCAGGAGGAAGAGACGCAAGCTGTCTCCTGAGTGGGAGGGAGGGCCAGGCAGGATGCCCCTGTGTCGGCCTCCTTTTCCCTGGGGCTGTCTCCACACTTAACTGCTGCTCCATCACAACAGGGGGCCGAGAACCCTCCCTGGGGCTGCAGACCTCAGCCTGGGAGGGACCCAGTTCCCTCAGCTCAGGGGATGCCCTGGACTCTGTGCTCTACAGCACCCCTGCTCAGGCGGAAACACCCTGGGGCAGATGAGTGAGTTCAAAACCAGGAGAGTGGGAGAAACTGGGCAGTTTTATTGATGAGCATCCGAAGATTCCACGTCAGGTCCGTGGGCGGGACAGGACCCGAGTCCAGGCTTTATGCTTCTCCTCGGGCCTTGTGGGTGCAAACTTCTCCTGCAGTTTCTTCCACATGCTCTTATTCATCTCTTGAAACTCTTCCAAAGTGTCTGCACAGGGAAAGATAGACAGGCCGACGTCATCTTACACTTGCCCATGAGGACCGCTCATCGGGCTGTCCCCAGAAGAGCGTGCTTTGCTTTCTGTGTCCCAGGCAGTGGGTCTGCACTGTGGAGGGGGGGTTTGCTATGGTGGTGAGGGCCCGTCCCCTTCAGCACCACGGATATGCACTCCTGCCCCACTCCACATGCACTTGCAAGGACATGGCGACTTCCTTCCAAACCTGACTCTGCCCTCAGCACTACTAAGGTACGCTTCCTGCCTTACGCATGCACCAAGAAATGGCTCCAACTTTCTTCTCACGCTCGGCCTACTACTGTCTACATCAGTGGGAGCCAGGTAGAGGGAGCCAAGGTCCTGGCTTTGGAAGCACATCAAAATAAGGAGCTGTCAGCAGTGTGGACCGCTGTAGGCTGGAGGGGAGGGAGGTGGACAACTTCACCCCATCCCCACCCAATCCCTGAACCCTTGCAACCTTCCATTCAACTGTAAAACCGGGAGAAGAGCACAAACTTCCCAGGATGGATTTGTGGCAATCAAGAGTAATGTACCTAGCTAGATGGAAAGGCCACACCTTCACAGTGGTGGCAGGGTGTCTGTGTTGGTGCACATATGGGGACAGCCATGTTTAAGAACCACACTTGAGCTAGGTGGTGGTGGCCCACGCATTTAATTGCAGCACTCAGGGAGCAGAGACGGGCGGATCTCTAAGTTCAAGACCAGCCTAGTCTACAGAGTAAGTTCCAAGGTGGCCAAAGCTAAACAGAATCCCTGTTGAAAGTCCCCTGCACACATGCAATGACACGGTCAGCCTCTCCCTGCCCTGACGGTGTGGCCGAGTGCTTTCCCCTGGGGCGGCCCTGGGTCAGCACTCTTGCCTCTTTCCACCCAGGACCACACAGCCCTACCCAACAACTGTGACAATGGGCACATGTCCACAGGGCACAGGACATCTCCTAGCAGACCTCTCATTTATAACTCCTAGATAGTGAACTCAGACACCATCCCAATACCGGCTAGCTTTCAGGCCCACTTTAACACCAGTGCTAGCCGCCGCCGCCGTCACAGTTTATGGGCAGTGGCCCCACTGCAGCCTGGAGCACTGGCCTGCCGTGTGGCCCCACTGCAGTGCCTCCTGCTCTGACTTTCCCAAGTCCACATTCCCACACAAGGCGCCCAGGGTGACACGGGGCTGGGGATGGCCCCCCTCTCGAGGGCCACACTCCAGGCCTGGCTGCTCCCGTGTAGTGTGGAGAGCCTTATTTGGGTGGTTCTGGTCCCACACAATTTCAACAAAAACACGAGGCCTGCTGTGCACACATTGTCGGGGTTTCCGGGGCTGACTGGAAGCCAGACCAACAGTCTCCACACTCCCCTGCTGCCCGCCCAGAGGCTTCCTGAGGTCTGGCAGAAGGGGAAGGACAAGATGGCGGGAAGCATCGTCCGTGCCGAGTCCACTCTCAGATCCCTCACAGACACTCTGTCACTGCTGGTCATGCATGCTCAGGGAGGGGTGTGGGAGTAAATTATAAGTCCTCCTGAAAGTCAACACTGACACAGCAGATGACATTCCCAGGTTCCCATCTGCCCAGAAGGGCAAGAGTTCTAGAAAGTTGAATCTTCATGGCCAAGAAGAAGGAGAAATTTCTAGAGTACCAGACAGCCAACGTTCAGGGCCCTACCCTCTCAGAAAAGGTTAGCCTATTTTTATATACAATATCCTTGACAATAAAAATAGCAGTTTTCCAGTCCCTACCTGCTCTGACCCTTTCTGTGACAATAGAAATGGGGAAGTGAGGAGGGGTGGCTGGCAGGGCTTCCTTCCTACGAGCTGGGTTCTAGCCATGACTCCCAGACCTCGTTAGCCGCATATCAAACCTGCAGACCACGTCTCCTGGGACAGATAACTCACAGGCGGATATCCCCATACTCATTCACTGAATGGCTTTTTGTTTTAATTAAAAGCCTCATTGTTTACAAAGCCCCCTTAGGACCATAAAAATAAAATTATTTTCCTTCCAAACTGAATCCAATGACTTCCAATTTGGCTAAAATGTTCCCAGCCACGAATTAAAAGCACTAAAGATGATTCTGTCTTCTAAATAACGCCTTTGACCTTTTCCATATTGTGTGGCTCAAGCATACGAGCTTTGAAGCCCAGGATCTGATCTCATCTCATCTCTGGGCTACTTGAGACTCCATCATGCAAAACTGCCTTCTTAGGCGAGCCTCTCACCAAGCAGGGAGGGCAGTGACGCCATCATACCTGTGGCCAGGATCAGCTTGTACTCCTCCACCGACAGGCCACTGAAGCTGGTGTCTCTAGGACGAGGGTACTGACATGGGCAGGAAAGAAGAGACACATTAGTTCTGCACACACTGGTCTTCCTCTGGCTGCCTGCAGTCTACCTGACAATGGGGGACAGCGCCACCTGGAGGCCAGGAGTCACGCCTGTGGAGATCTTAGCAGGCCCAGGACGCCTTGCTCTGACTGAGCGGCTCCCAGATGGAGCCCACACTGGTATCTGGTATCTGGAAGGAATGCCCTCCACACACAGCCTCTTCCATTTGGCCAGGTCTACTTGTGGAGCTCCTGACGTATTTTTCAAGTCTTGGAAAAACTACACTCATGGAACCTGACAGTAACCATGCTGAGGCTGAGGAGGAGGGCTTTGCTTGGTGTGACAGGATCGTCCTAACGCTCCATCTTTATCAGTGTGTGACACCGGTTCCATCACTGAGTGAGAACTATGAACAGGAGTGTGCGCTGGCACACACACAAGCATGGCTTTATTCAGAGGACCTTTCGAGGCCTCTGCCGGGCATCATTGTTGGCTTAGCTGAAAGTACTGGGTTACATCTCAAAGTCACAAAACACAATTCTTTACAAATGCTGTATGATCAGGCTTGCCCAGTTCTGACTGGTCCTCCCCTCAGAGGCTGGGATACAAAGGCCGTGCCCACTCACCTTGTGCTTGTAGTAGTTTGAATGGAGTCGTGCTAAGCTCTCGTACATCTGATCACAGGCCTCGGGCTCTGCAATCTGAAAGACAGCATGTCCCCAGGGAAGTTAGTGGAGGAGGTGGGCCCCCCACGCCGCACCCAGACCTCGAGGGAGGGCTATTCGTACAATGTATTCACAGAGGAGGGCACTGGTGTCCCCACATGCGTGCGGGAAGCAAACCTCCCTGTAGCTCCATGTATGAAAGGCCCCACCTCACCCGCCCCCGAACCTGCAGGATCTCTGAGCCCTCAACAAACAAAAGCCTTCAGCAGCTCTCTGCACTGTGGCGGCGACAACATGCCAGGTGTGGGTAGTAAAGAGATGCTGGGGGCAGAATGGGCTCCAGGGATCCAGAAAGCAGCTCAAGTGATGGCGGGGAAGGAAGGCCCTCCCAGGGAAAGGGACCCTGTAAATGAGGAGAGGACAGAGGGTGCTGCCATGGAGCCAAAGAGCACCCAGGGCTGCCTGAGGCCCAGGGGCACCAGAAAGCCTGCTGGGAAAGAAAGCAAGCTTTGTGAGCCGAGAGAAGTATGGAGTGGATTACATGTTCTTTTATGAAAGACCCAACAACAACAACAAAGGCACCATCGCTACTAAGCAAGGAGCTGTTAGGACAGCAGGGGAGAGAGCCAGCCAGGGCTCGGGGCACACCTGCAATCCCAGCACTTGGACAGGGCAGAGTGTGAAGTCAGCCTGGGTTACATGGAGAGCTCCGGCAGACCCTGAACTACAGAGGAGACACAGCTTTGAGAAGAAAGGAGGCCATGTTGCAAAATGGTTGAACCAAGCAGGGCCAAAACCAGGAAGAAAGCACAGAACAAGCACACAGACAGACCTGTGGGAAGCCAGGCTTCTGTCCTTCAGAACTTTACTCTTTAACCCTTCCTCTTCTCCACCCTTGCTGTTTGTCTATGTACCTCATTACATTCCTCTGCCAGGACTTCTGAAGAACAAAACTCTTTTATAGTTTTCCCAGAATTCAAACGATGGCTTTTTTCTTCCCTGACTTAAATCCTTTCTCGAAGAGTGAACATATAAATAAATCAGGAGTTGAGCATTTCAGCGAGGCAGCCCTCTTCTGCCTGCGTGTCAAATGAGGTCCCAGCTCTCAGTCGACACAGCCCCAGCCCTGCCTGCCTTTCTACAGATGTACCCCCTGCTCAAGGCTGGCAGGGGCTGTCCAGGAGGCCATCTGCCTTCTGAATGCTGGAATTAAAGGTGTGCTATCATGCCTGGCAGCACACTGCTTCTTGAGCAAGCGTGGGTAACGAGCCACACAGACAGAGGCAGAGCACACACATCCCAAGCTCTTGGCCTCGGACACAGAATGCTCTACTCAGATGTCAGGACACAGGGGCTCCCACTCCTAAGTGCAGTGCTCGGCACATGGGACCGGTGGACCCTTGGGGCTCACTGGCTGACCTGCTCAGCCTACATAGAGCCTACAGGGGGAGACAGAGGACCTATCTGTAAAAAAGGAAGGGAGGGAAGGAGGGAGGGAGGGAGGGGAACGAAAGGGTGGACAGTATTTGAGGACTGACAGCAGAAGCTGCCCTCTGTATGTGCAAATGTGCACATGCACGCAGCCCCACATCCGCAGCTGCACTCACAAACAGCAGTCACACATGTCTGACACCGACAGGAAAGGTCATTTCCTCTGCTGTGCTCTCCTCTGCGCTGGGCTGACTGCACAAGGCATCTACCTGCACAGCCTCGGTGCGAGCAGAGAGCTCACAGGGAGCAGGGGCCTCTGTAGCCGCAGGGACAGTGGGGCGGCTGCCTGGGCGGGATCCTGGTACCATCGCTCACCAGCGACAAGATGGCCACATCTTGTCACAGACCTCTGCCCATTCACTTAAGGCTGACGCGTCTGCATCACTCTTACGAGTGTCTGGTCATTTACGAGGCCCTTTCACACACCCCCAACACGAGCATGTGCCTGCTGAGATTCTGGATGTTCTCTCGTGCGACCGTTCAGGACAACTGACGCTGATACAGTGCCATTGTCTAATAATCCGTGCCCACATTCCAACCTTGGGCACCGTCTAGGGAAACCCTCACAGGGCAGGGTTCCACCCACTGTGCTGCACTGTCCTATGCCGTGGTCACCTTTTGTCCTCTGCCTCGCTCCGTTTCCATCTTTCATGTACTGCCACTTTATAGCTTTACTGGTGAACCTGACTTTAAAGGTGATAATGAGCCCCCACCTCTGAGGGCAGTATCAAGTTGAAGGAGGTGACAGGGCCGCTCCTGGCCAGGAGCATCCGGTAACAGCCAGTGTGTGCTGCAGAGTGCTGGGGCCTGCATTCTAATACAAACGCAAGAGAGCTGCTGCTCACCAACACAGAGCACACAGGGTGTGCAGTGTGCTGCGGCCTGCACAGGGAGAGCCAGGGAAGACTGCAGAAACATCCCAGCTGGAACACAGCCAGGGAGGACCCAAGGAGTGTGCATGAGTGGCCAGTGCCAGTCAGGTAGGAGTGTTACTGGGGCTGGGGGCAATGCAGGAGAACTGGACCTGGCCTGGCCAACCCTGGGCAGCCAGTTAACATCCCATGGTCAGGCAGGGGCTCTGCCGTGAAGGCTGCTCTCATGGCTGCTCACCTGCACCTACCCGCCCACCCTCTGGCTGCCATCCTAGTGCCTGGCGGGGGCAGCCTGCACAGCAGTCAGCCCTGGGCCCCAGCGGCGGTCCCTGCAGAGGCTGCCCGACAGGATAAGCACAGAGGACAGGGCCACCCTTACAAGACCTGAGAGCAAAACTGAGGTGACCCTGGGAACCTCAGCCTCTTCAGTGCCCTCTGTCCCTCAGTTTGCAGGCAGAGATGGTGGCACAGGTCTATCATCTCAGAACTCAGGAACCAGGGGTGTGGTGAGTTCGAGGCCACCCTCGGGGTCTAGATAACACAATGCAAAATTACCTGTTATCTAATTTCCCACTAGGTCAGGTGTTTACAAAAGGCTATAAAGCAGCCCAGGGAGCTGAAGGGAGTTTGCAACAATTTCTAGCAAATTCTTACTGTCTAAGGAGAGGCAGCAAGCAACAAGCCCCACTTCAGGATCTGTGTTGTATCTAACTCCAGCTCAGCACTTAAAAATCAATCTTATTTGCTACCTAGCTGCTCCCAGTCTTGATGGCTAAGCCTTGTCTGTACCTACCTGCACCTCACAGACCGGCACCCTGCACCTCACCCTCCACACAGACTGGCACACACACGCTGGGACCTGGGGCCCCCAGCGCCTTTCATGAAATCCTTTAGCAAAGACATGCATAAATTACCTGGACTTGCATTTGCACCTAGTGAGATTAAAGACATTTGGGGACAAAGCCGCACATGGGTGATATGAAAAATTCAACGCTGTTCCCCACTCGTGAATGAAATGGAGGCTCTGAGCCGAGCGCCCCTCACGGCTCCATCGCGTTCCCCACACTTCCCTGCTCAGCTGTCAGTAAATCTCTCCTTACCATATTAAACTTTTATATATACAAATCTACATAGGTGCCGCAGGCACTGATTTCGATTTTCAAAATTGAATTTTGGGTGGTGACAGCAATTCGTACAGCGGCCCCTATTCCAGTGACACAAGGGAAGCATAAGCACGCTGGGGAAGTGCCGCAGACTGCTCTGCTAATGAAGGTGGAACTGGAGCTGGTCCAGGAGGCTCTACACGGAGACTGTTCCATGACTCCGTAATGAAGTTCTGACAGGAACCAGGCCGACCTGGAGCACATTCCTGTCAGGGACACTGGATGTCTATTTCCTGAGCACCTTCTATGGAGAGTGCACTGCCAGAGACCCCGACTGCGAGGGATATGAAGGGGTAGCCAGCAGTCAAGGAGGGGACAAGAAACGAGTGCACCGGAAACCAACCCTGCCTTGAGCTGTGTGGAGCCGAGTGGCAGTCAGGGCATTGTCTGAGCTTGAGCAGCACGGGATGGGTGCACGGAGAGAGGGCGCAGGACAAGCTGCCCAGCCGGTCAGGTTTCTGGTGTGTGGAGTACAGCAGTCCAAAGTCACTGGGCTCAAAGATTAAGAAAGACTTAAGTTCTGAAGGTAGAGCAAGGGCCTGTGAGGCCAGGGACTGAGGCAGGCTGGGAGGCCAGGACACCTGGACACCAAGGGCTGGCAGGTACTGAAGGCCTGGAGCTGATGAAGTGGGGACCACTACTGGATGTAGCCATTTACCCCCGAGAAGAACAGCTGCACTTTTACACACTTACACACTTACACACACACAAACACACACACACACACACACACACACACCACAGCTCCCCACTCCAAACTCCAAACCGAGGGTAAAGACGACGACGATGACACTCAGTCTATCCTGGACACTGCTTTCCTCACACCCCACTGTTTGTAGTGCCTGCAACATACAAAGAGTACACGCTGTCCTCAGACCATGTCCCCAAAGTCTGACTCACACTGAGATGCCCTCTCTGTGGCTGTGAGGCACCGAGACCAGGCTTCGCCTGGATGTCTACACTCAGGCCTTGGATCCTTTCTGAGGAGATGCCGGCACTGTTCCTCACTAGACACCCAGCAAAGCTTGGTATCTCTCTTTGGGCCATCACCCAACCCTCTGTAAGACACAACGGCCACCGCCTGTACGGCTGGGCAGGCGGCCCTCACCCCAGGCAGCAGCATCTGCAGACCAGCCTCATTCCCCGAGTGGCCTGAGCTTACTGGGCTGGCCGGGCAGAGCTGTCAGCCACCCTGCACCGGACAACTCGCTAGCGGGATCTGCTCTTCGTTAGCGGGACCTGCTCTTCGCCTGCAGTTAAGTCACTAAGCGCAGCTGCCTGCCCTTCCCCCACTCGAGATTCTTTTGTGCAGCTCGAGGTGCAGCAGGGACCAGCAGGCAGGGACCGAGAGCTCTTAAGAAAGCTGTATTCAGAGTAGACCAGACCCACAGCCGCAAACTTCAAAAGGCAACAACAAGCACAAGGTGGTGAGGTGGTCCCTGTGTTCCAGCTCCCACTGCCACCCCTCCTGGAGGGGTTAGGGTGGGCAGAGAGATGCCCCCAGGGCCAGCCTCTGGCTTATATGGAGGCAGAGGGCTCTGTGCTCAGGTCTGTAGTCTGAATTATTAATTGGCCTTCCAGCAAGCCTGGCCTTTCTGCACTGGTGTCCCACAGAGGACCACCTTTCTTCTTGTTGCACTGGGGAGGTGGTGACTGGGGCACAGAAAAGGAAGTGGGCCTCAAGTGTTTAATTCCTTGCCCCAACTGCTGTGATCCAAAAGGTGCGATCGGAGAATCCAGGGAGGGAGGACCTGCTGCTTACAGAAGAAACTTAACAGGAGGGCTCTCAAGAGGACTGATAACAAGGCACCTGCTGAGACCCGGGCCATGTGGACAGGCTGCCCAGAGGCCGGCTGTCTCCTTGTTTCTTACTGTCAAGGAACCTGAGTCAATGGTTTTTACTTTTCTGATTAGATTTCAATATCTGTAAGAATCTGGACAGCGCCAGCTTCCTCACCCCGGGGCCCAGAGGGTAAAACCGGATGAGACGCGCCAAGTGTCCCCTGCACCTTGTACCGTGCATGTTAAACCACAGGAAGCCCAGGGTCTCAGCAAGGCTGCGGGTCTCAGCAAGGCTGCTCTGCACAGCAGCCTCCCCGCCTCCAGCTCCACTTTCTGGACAAGTGGAGGAGAGGTGGGGGTCACAGCCATCAGCCACCCCCAGGTCTCATCCCACCTTCTACTGTGGGTTTAATGAAGCGTCTCTCAGAGCCACCTTCCCTTCCCAAGGTCTTTCCTAAGTGATCCGGGGGCGGCAGAGGGAGTGACTCACACTCTGTTCTCTGTCCCAGCCAAGGACTGCTCCCTCCAAAAATTATCACCACGATTTACTAAGCCCAAGCAGGCTCAATTTCAGGTGACATGAGGATGAGCTACGACATAGGTCCTGAGTAATGTGCCCGCTGCCGCCACCCAGAACACATCCATCAGCTGTGGCGGGGCCTCTGGTGATGCTGACCTGCATTTACAGCTATGACTCAAGTCTGTGTGGGCCTCAGCTGATCAGAAACTGTGTCCCTAGGTGGTGACAAAGGATGACAACTCCCAAAGAGAAAGCTCTCCTCTCCCTGCTGTCTGTCTTACCCTAACAATCAAATAGGTGAGCGCCAGTTTCTCCTTCTCTGGCATCTGGCCTCTGGCTGCCCAACTCTAAGCCACTTGGGACTGAGGACTGGACGGTGCCTGTGTCAGCAGTGCCTGGGGCGCCACATACACAGAAGCTTTGGACCAATGAGTGTACACACAGGACAGTCTGCCCTCTCTCCTTGCCACTGCCTCCGACAACTTTACCGCTGCATCTGGAGACGACTGGCCTCACAAACCACAACCAGTCCCTTGTTCTCTTGAATGTTCACTCAGATGCTTTTGTGTACCAAGAGCTGTATTAGACACGGTGTGCAAGTCGGGGTGGGGGCTTCATCTCTATTCCCCAGGACGCTCATACTACAAATTAGGGAGCATAGCCCTAGAAAGACCGTGGGGTTTGCCTCATGATTCGTAAGATATGGGTCAGTGAAGACCGCCAGCCCAGTGTGAGGTCCCTGGGCCAGACCCAACATCCATGTGACAATCAGCAGTGTGGTCATGGGGTGGCCACTGGCACCCTCTTACTCACGAGGTGGGCTGGTTTAGCTGCTTCCTGCTTTGGCAGGTCGTGGCCCATCTCACAGGTCACCTGCCGACTATGTGTGCTGGGCATCTCACTACTCACCTCTGACCTCTTGCCTAAGCCCAGGGCTCAACCAACCCCCTGCCTACTTGACATTCCACTTGGAAGTCGGTCTGCTCGGCGTCTCGAGTTTAAAGCCTCTAACACCAAACATGCGATGTACTCCCCACACTCCACCTGCTCCTCCGTCTAGTCTTTCCCGTTTGAGTAAATGGCACCCAGCTGCTCAAGCCAAAAAAAGAAAAGGGGGAAAAAAATCTAGGCGCTGTCCTTGGTTCCTCTCCTTTACCCCACACCCAGGACACCCGCGCTGTTAATGTGACCCGCACATTACAGACTGCTCTGCTACTTCTGTCTCCTGTGCCGCCACCCTCGTCCAAACCACCGCCAGCATCTCTCTCTTCCGGTGCTACCTCAGCAGGCTTCTCTGCGGCTTCTGGTTTCCATTTGCCACAGCACCAGAGTAACCTCTGAAAATTAGGGCACATCAGTCCCCGGACTAAATGTCCCCGGTGGCTTCTCACTGGCTTCCTGGTAAGATCTGACTTCTAACGCAGGACTGGAGAGGTGACTGGGCAGTTAAAAACAACCTAGGTCTGATTCCTAGTACCCACACGGTGGTTCACAACCACTTGTAACATCAGTTGCAGGGGAATCCATCGCCCTCTTCTGGCCTCAGTGGGCACTGCACTAACATGGTACACAGACATATCTGTAGGTAAAATTTAAAAAAAAAAAAAATGAAGACAAAAAACCAAAAACAAAAAAACCAAAACCATACCCTGTATGGTCCCTGGTTCCTGCCTTCCGTCAGCTTCAAATCTTAGCTGTGAACATCCCACTCACTACCCGTAGGTTTGCTTTCTTTTCTGTAATATGCCAGTCTGGTTTTCTCTGAAGTGCCTGGCTGCCATCCCCGAAGAGCCGTCAGTGTTCACTGTCTTCCTGCCTTGAGTCCTACCTATGTGTAACTTTCCCAGGCAAGCCTCAGGAACCCGACTAATGTTACATTTACCACGATCAGAGTACTCATTGGGACTGTCGTATGCATTTTGTTCCTCGTGTCCTGAATGAGAATTTAAAACCACAAGGAGTAAGACCCCGTCTAATTCATGTATCTCCCTGGAACCTAGTTCTCCGAACATGGCCGTGCTTGATAAGGGGAGCTACACCAGAGTGGGGCGAGAAGGTCTACCTCTCACACAAGGGACCTGTGTGGAAGGCCCAAACAGTTTCACAGTGACAGAAGGCTGTGAGGCTTGGCTGGAGGTTTCTGGGGCTCGACTGGTCTCACAAACACAACCTGGGGCTCGACTGGGCTCACAAACACAACCTGGGGCTAGACTGGGCTTATACACACATTTATGTTATGGAAGAAACAAGCCTGCCTTACAATTTGATTCTTTAGTGGCATCTGAACCTCAGGGGCGCTTCACCGATCACTACACGGTGCAGATAAGGGGGAAAGGTGAGAAGAAGGCGTCGCACTCCGCAGCGAGCTGGAAGATGGGTACCTCGCACACGTGCAGCCTGGCAGAGAGGCTGACGCATGCGCAGACCCCCCCACACGCACCCGCGCCGCCCCTCGCTCCGACGTCCCCAACCTCCTCCCCTCCGGTCACCTGAGTGTTCTCTCCCTCCCGAAAGGCCTGTGCTACCCGCTGCCGCAGGTAAGCGCCCAAGTCTCGGCCCCGTTTGGTCTCGTCCACTGGCCATTCCTCACAGAGCTTAAGGAAACGCCGGTAGCGGAGAGCGGCCATCTTGGGCCCCGCTTGCCCCGCCCCTCGGGGGAGGAGTCGAGGTCGCGGAGAGCGCGTGCGCACTAAGGCGCGCCGGCCTCCCCGCGGACATGCGCGGTTCTGCCAACCTACGGGCCTCCAGGCAGCGGCGCTGCTCACCTTTGAGAGCGAGGTCTGAGCTCCTCGGATTCTTCGTCCTGGAGCTCGCCCAGCTCCCAGGGGCAAAGCAGACGCGGTGTACCCTGGGGACAGCTTTGCTCTTCGTTTTCAGTGACTTCACAAGCTCGAGACTAAAACAGCTTCCCCGGAGACCTGTGCTGTTTTGCATAAGCGGGACATTTGCATGTAAATACAGGTTGTCTTTGGATGGAGATGCGTTTGATCTTAATGTCTGGCGTGTACACACACACACACACACACACACACACACAGCTGCCCCACTCCCACACTCACGTGGACAGTTCTTCAGCTACCATCTCCAGCCTCCCGACCACATTGCTTACCACAGGCACAGGTTTCCCATGAAGTACCGAAAACGTTGCTGCAGCCTGGAACTCTTTTTAAAAAATTTTTTAAAGTCTGTTTTCTTTATTTCTATATGTATGAGTGTTTACCTGCACCACATATACGTGTCAGTTCTGGGGTCTGAACCTGATTCTCTGCAAGAGCAGTAAATGCTCTTAATAGCCTGTCGTTTCTCCAGCCCCAAGAATGAATGTTTTTATTGTGGGAAAATACAACATAAAATATACCGTCTTTTACAATTTTTTTTATATTTTATGCGCATGAATGTCTGCCTATGTGTGTATATGCATGCCTGGCCCAAAACAAACAAACCACCAGATCCCCTGGAACTAGAATCATAGACAGTTGTGAGTCACCATGTGGGTGCTGGAAAGCAAGAGCAGGAGGGTCTTCTGCAAGAACAGCAATAGCCCTTAACCACTGAGTCATCTCTTTAGTGTCAAATGTACCATTTTAAGCAACGGGGTGCTTGTTAGGTGTTCCAGGTTGGCTTGGAATCTGAGATCCTCCAACCTTAACAGCCTCCTAGGATTATAGGATTATAGATATATATATCACCAGTGAAGTGCCTTTACCTGTGAGCCATCTTGCTGGGTGACTCCCTTCCTCTTGATATATATGATATATCGTGTGTGTGTGTGTGTGTGTGTGTATGTGTGTTTTCTTTTGAGATAGGGTTTCTCTGTGTAGCCCTAGGTGTCCTGAAACTCTGTAAATTAGTGCTGAATGAATGAATGAAAAAAGCCACATTCTAACCTAGGTCTGTCAGACCCTAAAGCCTCTCAGCATTCATAAGAGCCCTTGCTGTGTAGCAGATAGAGGAAAGGAGACCGCAGGAGAAGGAGGCAGCAGGCACGAACTTTCCCTGGCACCCTGGCACCTTTCTCAACCTCTTACCACACTTGCACCTCAGGCGGAAGGATAAAACATTCACTGCCGTCAAGTTACTCTCCCTGTAGCCTAAGATGGGCAAGGGGTCTTGCCACCCCTGACTCCCAGGTTGCCTGTGGCTGGGCAAATACTCTTTAAAGTCATACCTTGGTGGGCCCTTGTGTCTTCCAGCCCATCCTGGCTCTCAGTGCCTGGAAATAAAGCCACCCAGCTTCATGGCTGACAAGAGCTAAGGTGAGGCTGTGATGGGGCTTGGGACATGATAGGGTGATCAGGGACGTTTTTCTGGGGGCACGCCCACCGAGCACCTCACCTTGGCACGGCACCCCAGCCAAGATTCCCTATCACCACCTCTGGAGCTGTGGAGGCCGTTCCCTGTTTAAATCACCCACGATCTGCTCAGATTAAACCCCTCCCTCTGCCTCCTTCCCACCACCGCCCAACGCCTGCCTCCCATTGCTCCCGAGCCGCCCCTGATCTTCCTCCTCCATTTCCCTCTACAGCTGGGTAATATTTCTTTCTCTGTCTTCCACAGCGCAGCCTGACACAGCCAAGCTCTGCTTCACGATGGGGAAAATGAGAAGAGAGATCTCCAGTAATTTTGTCGGGAGAACATCAGAGACCACACACTAGCACGGGACGCGTGGCTAGGCAGTATATGGAACCACCTTTTCTTTTCTTTCCTGATTTTATTTTGACTTTATTAAACTGTTCTTATTTATCAGTATGGGTGTTTTGGCTGCAGGTATAACATGTGTGCCTGGTGCATCTGTTCCCTTAGAGAGTTACAGATGGTTGTGAGCAGCCATGTGAACGCTAGGGAATCAGATATAGGTCCTCTATGGGTTTAGTTTTGTTTTCTTAGTGGTGGTAGGGGAGGTTGAGTCAGGGTCTCTCAGTATAGCTCTGGCTGTTGTGGGACTTGCTATGTAAACCCAGCTGGCTTGGAACTCACAGAGATCTGCCTGCTCTTGCCTCTGGAGTGCTGGGTATTAAAGGCATGGGCCACCATGTGCAACTCCATCTTCTTTCCAGTCTCCATGTTTTTGTTATATAGCCTAGGCTGGCCTCAAACTTGAGAACCCTCTGCTTCTGCTTCTGCCTCCCAAGTACAGCAATATAAAGCCGCGTAGCTGCTGGGGAGCACGGCAGCAGCTGCTGGGAAGCACAGTTCAGACTGCTGGGGAGCACGGCAGCAGCTGCTGGGGAGCACAGAACAGACTGTTGGGGAGCACAGTAGCAGCCGTTGGGGAGCACAGTACAGACTGCTGGGGAGCACGGCAGCAGCTGCTGGGGAGCACAATACAGATTGCTAAAAATATATGGAAGCTGGCAAGAAGGGTCAGTAGGTAAAGGTGCCTACCTACCGCCAAACCTGATAACCTTAGTTCAGTTCCTGGGCCCCTACCTGGCAGAGGAGAGAACTGGCCCTGAAAGTTAGTTCAAGCAGCCAAGCCTAATGACCTGAACGAATTTCATCCCTGGAACCTATGTGGTAGGTGACAGGCATTCCTCACAAGCTGTGGCTCAGGTGTACTCACACCTATACACACAGAGAATAAATAAATAAGCGTATTTTTGCGACAGGGTCTCACTCCTTACCCCTGGCTACCTGGTACTCACTAAGTAGACCAGGCTGTCCTCGAACTCATAGAGATCTGGCTACCTCTGCCTCCTGAATGCTGGGGTTAAAGGCGCATACTATCATGCCTAGCTAAATGTAATAGACTTTTTCTTTTATAAGATATCAAGGATTTAAAAATAGTAACAGGCCAGGCAGTGGTGGCGCACACCTTTCATCCCAGTGCTCAGGAGGCAGAGGCAGGTGGATCTCTGAGTTTGAGGCTAGCCTGGTCTACAAAGCGAGTTCCAGGATAGCCAGGGTTACATGGAGAAACCTTGTCTCAAAAATAAAATAAAGAAAAAGAAAACAGTAACAGCAAATGTGAAAGTGGCGGTTGTGACCATACAGGGGGCACAGGGGACAGCTGAAGCCCCCTTCCCTGTGCATTTCATACAGTATGAGGAGACAGGTAAAGCACCAAGAAAACCTACAATAAAAACAACGCTGGCTATGACTGTCTCCTCATATTAACTTGTTAGAAGCACAAGCTGATTTCATATCTGGTAAATTCAGGAAAAGTCAAGATGGGTGTGGTAGTTTGAATAGAAATGGCCCCACAAAAAAAAAAAAAAAAAAGAAATGGCCCCACAGGCTCAGATATCTGTGTGTTTAGTCAGCAGTGGGTGAACCTGTTTGAAAGGATTAGAAGGATTAGGAGGTGTGGCCTTGCTGGAGGAAGTGTGTCACTGGGGTTGGGCTGTGAGGTTTCAAAAGTCCAAGCCAGGCCTTGTCTCTTTCTTCCTGCTGCCTGTAGATCTAGATGCAGAACTTTCAGCTACTTCTCCGGTACCATCTCTGCCCATGTACCATCATACTCCCTGCCAGGATGATACTGGATTAACCTCAAGATCCACATGGATGGGAGGGCTAATTCCCGAGGGGCTGTTGTTGCCACAGACCCGTGTCACTTCAGGAAACCACCTGAAGACGGATTAGGCAGGCTGCCAGGCAAAGGGGCAGCAGAGGCTCGGAGCAAGCAACTTCGGGTGCTTTGTGCCTTTTGGGTTTTTTGGTAGCTCTGGGATTCTTTTCTCCTTTGTTTGCTTTGTGAGAGGAGCAGCCTGAGAGTCAGAGCTCTATCTGCAGGAGTCCAGTTTCTCCCCTCATCAGATGGGATCTGTACCTCAAACTGAGTTCCTTAGGTTTGGCAGCGAGTGCCTTTACCTTTATTTCCTGTTCTGAGACAGAGTCTCATGTAGCCTAGGATAGCCTGGAAATTCTGATCTTTCTGCCTCTACCTCCACAGTGCCAGGATTACAGTACACAGCACTGTGTCTGCTTTATATAATTCTGGGGATCAAACCAGGGCCCCCTGTACCCTAGGCAGGCCCTCTTCTAACTGAGCGACATCCCCAGCCCTTGAGCTCTAGTTTCTTCCTTTTAAAATGAGAACTGTGGGCTGATGAGATAGATAGCCCAGCGGTTAAGAGCACTGGCTGCTCTTCCAGAGGTCCTGAGTTCGAGTCCCAGCAACCACATGGTGGCTCACAACCACCTATAGGGGGATCTGATGCCCTCTTCAGGAATTAAATAAATAAATAAAATTATTAAAAAAAAATAAAACAAGAATTATTGGGAAGAGTGAGCTCAAGACCAGTCTTTGCTGTACAGTGTTTGAGATCAGCATGGGCCAATAAATAAGTAAGTAGAGAGGGCTGAGGGTGCAGCTAAGTCGGTAGAGTGCCAGTCAGCATGTTTGAGGCCCCGAGTTCCGTCTTTAGCACAACATAAACTATGCCTGGAAACTCACACCTTTAATTCCAGTATTTGGGAGGCAGAGGAAGGCTGATCTCTGTGAGTTCAAGGCCAGCCTGGTCCGCATAGTAAGTTCCAGTCAGCCACAGCTAGGTAGTGATATCTTGGCTCAAAATAAGTAAATTAAGCTGGGTGGTAGTGGTGCATGCCTTTAATCCCAGCACTTGGAAGACAGAGGCAGGAGGATCTCTGTGAGTTTGAGGCCGGCCTGGTCCCTAGAGAGAATTTCAGGGCAGCAAGGCTATACAGAGAAACCTT